CCCTCCCCCCCCATCATCTGTCGGTACCTCACGACGCTAGTACTCAAGAACACAACAAAATGACTGAAACACGGCTCGTACCCAAACCCCTCGTTGCGCATGTTCAGCTCCATGACAAGTAACAAACAACATCTCCATAAAACGGCGCTTATTAGAGCTAGAGAAGGCCTGTTTTCTAAATTAAAAAAAAAAAAACAAACAAACCAAGCACCAACAACAACCAAACAAATAAAAACAAACAAAAACTGGTACTCGCCTTCATCTTCGTCCAACACCACAAAACCTTCGTCTTCGATTTCGTCATTTCTAGTGACGTCAAAGATCAAAACCTGTCCGTTACCAAGCCCTACCCACAATTCTTCACCGAGTGCCATCATTGTAGTGACACGTGATTCGCTAAATGCAATTACCTGGAAAGACAAGAGGACCGACATGAAGACAGATGTCTCGTCGAATAATTTTACCGGTGGATAGTTACAGGAAAGCTTTCCTACCCTTAAGTCAGGGCTGGTGTCGAGGCTTGTGACGTCATCGACCTTGAGAAGTATGTCAAAGGTGGCGTGATCCAACAACAGAATGCAAGAAGACCTGAAAACAAATGGTAAAAATGACTTGAACAAAGTCAAAGAGAAAAAGTGTCTATTCTGCGCAGTTTGGGCGTGGTAGATGGAGTGAAAGTCAGATAAAAATGGTACTTTATATTCAATTTAAAAGACATTACGTCTTACCCTCTCACGCTGCACCAGACGCCATGTTTACCGTGAGTTAACTTGGAAACCTGGTGACGACGTGAGTTTGATATAATCAGTGAACCGAGCTCACCAAGGGAACTGATGAAGAGGAAAAAAAAAAACATGTATTACAAAAACATGTTATGCACAACGTTAAGCTGATAACTTGCACTGCCATGGGAAATAATTAATCACCATGAGCCCACTGGACTCCTGACATCCGTGTGTTTAATTTGAGCCTCTGAAATTCAAAAGAAAATGAAAACTGCTCTTGGAACTATTTCTTGAACAACCAAGGAGTTAAACCATTAACTCCCACATAAAATGCAAATGCAACTTCCCTCGGCAGCTTCAAAACCATATCCAGCAAATAGGATAGGAGAAAAAGCGAACTTATCACTTGAGGGTGTTATCCTTATTTTAAAACGAATTGAAGGGAAACTGGAGGGAGAAAGGTGAATCAAATATCATTATTCTGAACCTTTTGAAAAAAGTTCTTTTCCTTAAGGTAAACGTCTCGCCGTCGCGTCAAGGGGAAACTTTAGACACGTTTACGAATGTGTTGCGTAAGTGTCTTGTAAGATGGTATATGTTGTCAAGAGATCGTTCGTGGTTTCGAACGGGGGGTCTGTTTATGTTCCGTGATCATTGATTCAGAACAAAAGTTGCCAAGGGAAATCAATTTAGCCCACAAATAACTGAACACCTGCTGATACAGTCCACGGATTTTCTTTCTACATACGCGTTAATTCGATTAGCCTCGCGTCAGTAGATGCGATTGATTTTCAAGAACTACCAAAACAATTGCAATATTTGTGACTTGATGACCCAGTAAATGTGCGTAAATACCAGAAAGAAATGTCCGGTGAAGGCCAAATAAAAACTTATTTTCATAATGAAAACATACTTTATGGTTTTTGGGGACAACACTTCGATCCATAGGTTTAATTAAATCAGATATACCACAATAAAAAAAAAACAAACAAACAAAACAAACAAGGTAAAGGACCACCAAACATTTAAAGATTTCGTTATAATACGCGTAAACGCTACACAAATCACTATGTTCTGTTTATCGACCAAAACAGAAGGTTTCCTAAGCGCATGTCTTGGTTAAGCAATGATATGGATACCAAAACAATGCAATCGATCAAAGTGGTTATCGATATTGCCAAACACTCGTTTTATAATTCATCTAGGCAGCGGGCATCACAATAAAAACACAAGCACCAACAAACAAACTACTGAGAAAGATCTCTGCATCATAGACGCTTATGCTCCATTGGAGGGGTGTACACTGTAGTGGTTTTAAAACAGATAGCCTGACTGAAGTAGGTGTCCAAATTTAGTTAATGAGATAGGTTAACCCTAATGTAATGCGAGTTTTTTTGTGGAGACGGTTTATCACTAGTACGTTTTTATTCTGAATGTTTTTCAATGATTCACACTTTCACAATTAGTCCTGTTGTTGGTTTTACTTTTTTTTTATCAAACAAAAACGATATGTGCTTTTTTGGTACAACCTTAAGAATCTTTTTCTTGAAAGGGTACGGGAAAATGCATACATATAGTGGTGGCTTATCTTCTTTAACGATAAAGTGGATCCACTACAAACATACAGAAACACATATCATACCAAAAAGGACGTTATTTTTCCAATACGACGAAACCTATCTAACGCAGGAATGAGAGAAAGAATAAATGAACTTTATAGAAGCTACTGCTCTCAGAACCGCTGTAAAAGTAATAAGGGGCTTTCGAATGGCACAATTTTGCACTAAAATATGGCTACAATGATTGTTTACATCAGGTCAGTTTTTGTCGGTTCGTTTCCCAAAAGAAAAATGTTTAAATAAGGTTATGGGAATGATATCATTGAAACAAACAGTCACGGGAAAAGAAAAAAAAGGATACTATGTTGTTTACAGGCTGGGATCACGCGAGCAATTAACGTCGTAGATAATGGATTGTAATCTTCTTTGTTTTATTTTGTTGTTATGAAGTCACGAGACAGCATTCGGAAACTTGTGAGGCAAAAAAAAAAAAACAGAGCTTTTAAATGTTAATTAATTTACCTTCGTCTTATTCTCGATTTGTTGAAAAAGTAACGCGACGAATAAATAAGACCAGAAAGAGAAGGAAAAACAAACAACACCCATTGTTGCAAGTATGAGAACATCTGCTGAACAAACCTTCCATCGAGAATCACCACATTGTTTCCGCAGCCGCACCACACGTTTTCGTTCACGAGAGTAATGCACGTGACAGGTGATCCACCCACCCGAATATGGGAGCCTTCGGATGGAGCCTCATGCCCACTAGCATTCTGGGAAAAAATTTAACACAAGCAGTTAGAGTAGCTTCACTATCGATCAGAGCAACCTTGGTCAAATTAGGATAATTTTGCTTTTATCAACAACATTTCATCGCTCGAATCTTTCACTCTTACGAAAGGCAAACGCTCGAAAAGTCAGCTTTAGAAACTCATTTGATAAAACCATCTTATCTTGTAATATTCCCCACCAACGCCGCAACACAGTTTCTTTAGAATCTTACAACATTTATTTGTAAGTAAAAGTAATATCTCTTTTTACGCTGATTCGTTCGCTCACTCTGTAGATGATAGATTGGTTGGTCGTTGGCGGACCGATTGTCCATTCGTTCGCCCGTTCGTTTGCTTTGACGGAGTAAGAAGAGTAGGTCACTACACTGCTCGTCTTTTACCCGTCTGTTTGTTTGTTTGTTTGTTTGTTTGTTTGTTCGCTTGCTCGTTCGATCCTAGGTTACGTAGAGTTGGCCTCTGGTGGGTCGTTGCCCCGTTCGCTCAATCATTCACTTGTTCGTTTGATCGCCCGCCCGCTGATTCGCTGGGCCGGTCGTGGTTTTTTGTTCGTTTCTTCGCCTCTTCGTTTGCTCGATCCATTACACTCTTTGTAAGAGTTAAATTCCGGTAGGAAATGGGACCACCGGTTTGTACATTTGGCCGTAGTTGGTTTTACAATCGTGAGGCCGTTCGTTTATTTGTCTGTCTCTATTTAAAACATCTAGTTAAAAAAAGATATTTCATTTTCTTCGCACATGTAACACAGCAATCGATCCATCCGCCAAGGCAGCAAAAACTTTTCCCTCAGGTAAATGAGCGATGTCGATCACCGAGTCATTCAGCTGCACGCACCACGCTTCCGAACTAAAGGAAAGACAGAAGTACGTCACTTCACAGAGAGGAAAAGACAACAACTACCTATAGCCAGATTATTAATCTAACAACGAAATACGAAACAAAGATATTTGAAGGTTCTGTTGTATATATTTTCACCTGTAACGGACGGAAAAGGCACGCACAGTTGGGAGATATGTCTACAGATTGCCGTGGATTATTAATCTATCAGATTGTGTGTTAACTTCATGAAGCAAAAGTGAAATGAAAGCAATAGTTTCTCCACCTGTAAAGGTCTCTCTACTCGTATCTCGTGTTGCTACCCCGAGGTAACAAAATTTATCAAATATATTCACACCTGAGCTCCAAAACGAACGCATGTATGTACCATGACACGGTCCCCACTAAAATGGTGCCATCGTCCAACATATCGCAACATAGAACACGTGATTTCGTCTTTCAATCGAAATGAGACACTTCCAATGGTTAGGACACCTAGCAGTTGTTGTATTGGTGAACGGGGAGCCCTGGCAGTGAAACACCGTCCAAGCAAAAACGAGAACCACTATAAGTTACAGAAGTGCCTACGTACCAATACCAAGTTCGGAATATTGGTAAAAATTTCAAACCATTCTGAAGATCAGTTAAATTTCCACATTTTGTCGTTAATTTATGAATAAGTGATAAGAATGAACGGCAGCATTTGCATGCACTCGCCAGTGATCACCGTAGCCGCAACATATCATAAATGGACTTACGTCTACGTCAAGTGCCTTCATTTCCTTCTTAGTGATGTCCAGAAGATAGACTTTCGCTTTAAGCCTACTGCTACAGAATAGACACACTGGGCTGGACAAATCTGCCGTTGAAATGCATAGAACAGAAGTTAAGACAGCTTATCTGTTCTGTTTTAATTTAGAGCAGATCTTCCAAATCAAATGTCGAAAATGGAGCAGAATCGTTTAATTTAAAGATATATAAATTCATTTACGGCTTAGTGTGGTAAAACTAGAACTGACGGCAGACTGACGGCAGCACCAGAAAACCACAACAAAATGAAAATACCAAAATGAGCCACTCAGAATACAAAGAAGCTATTGACGTCATTGGTGCTGAGCGCAGGCAAACATCAACGGCTGCAGTTGCGTTTGGTTCACGGGGTGGTTGTTTCATCAGCCGCGATGTAAATTCGGTTATGTCAGCGGTACTGCTGGCCCGCTAAATGTATTGAGATGGAAAGACTTCAGCCCCGCACTTATCCCCAACCTGGTTGGTGAGGTGATACACAGGTATCAAGATCGCGGCAAACAGTGATATGAAACGTGCAAATCTTGCTTGGTTGAAAAAAAAAAAATACCGTAATAGAATTCAATTCCACAAACAAAACCAGGAGGTATCAAAGGGCCAGCACGGTTCATCAGGGAATAACACCCCTTAATGTTCAGTGTATATCTAAATGATTAGCAGTCACTAATGCAAGTTATTGAGCCAATCTTAGACTGCAGGGGACGCTGTAAGCCACCATACGTTATCATCATTCTGCTACGCTTTATAAAACTCGCTCAAATCGTAATAGCCATGTCCGAGGACTTTTTGATGTGCATTTCAAAATAGTAGGCAGCCTACCGTTCTAGGTCTGCTTTTCCTGGGTTAAAAAAAAGTAATTTCTAATGACTATTTAACCTATAAACACGGAAAAGTTGAGACGGTTTAAACGTTCAGAAGAGAACTATCGGGATATAAAATATATAATTAGCCAAAACTAAATGAGTTAAAAAAAAAAACGAAACCGAAAAAACCCGGCTTCTCTTTAACTGGAATATGGAAAGAAACAGCATATAACCCTTGTAGACCATGGCCACAAACTAACCATCAAGATTTTAAAGCAAATATAATAATTTGTTCTAAATAAGGAAGGCAAATTTTAACAGATACCTCCGGTTTTATTTGTGGTGTCATAGCTTCTCACAATTTAATTATCTTGGTCTTCGATTAGCGCTTGTTTGCTCGTTGCTGTCCGAAATGAAGAGTAAATTGACAAGGTTATCTCGAAACGTGTCTTTACATTGTGGTTTGAATAGTTTCATCACGACATCAGTGAGCCAAATATTGAAAAGAAAAAATTCCAAGTCTTACAGAGTGAATTGTGAAGTAAGCTTAACTATGGCTACTTGTAGCAATAACATAAAGTAGAGATTCAAAGTTTCAATATAAATATTTTTAATTTAAAATTATCTGCAGATGCTTCGATACTTAACATGTAAATTACGGTTCTTTTGAAGGACACTCAATACCTTCTCATAAATCACATACCACTGGGCGACACCAAACCCCCTGGTTACATAAACAGGCGACTGAAAACAACCATTCAAACCCCGGCTGACACAGCAGTCACTTGGAAGAAGAGCAACCCTAGAAGCCCCCGCGAAGCTGGTTTAACTAATAAGGTAGGTCATGTATGTTTCCTTAAAAAAATACAGTAAATGCATGCTGGAACATTTGCTTTCTCTATTAAATAAGGACTTTATGTAGTCAGAACAGCAACGCCCAGGAAAACGTAAATTAAAAAACTAATTTATATTTTCAGTTGAAATTTCTCGAACGGCCGGATCTGTTTACCGTTGCTTACGGCGCCACACCTCAACTTCAGCATAACGTATTCGTGCAGCGTTAACTTTGAAATGGAAACTAAAATAATTTTACGGCGGGGTTTCCATTCTCAGACCAAGCACAGCTTAGTAACGTTGTAGTTTTTCAGACGACGGCTAAGAAATGCGCAAAGTTTAAAACGCACGTGCTGAGCCATTGCTCTGCTCACTAGATCTTTTGTCTCGCCGCCTCCTCGATGCCGTCGTGGTTTGCTTAGGGCCCTCATCTCGCAATCGAGTGGGCATGTTCTTAAATGACTATTTCATCGAACAGTGTAACAAGTTCACCGTTATCGATAGCCTGTCAACTTAACTAGGCGATATGTCTTTCATGCTGAGGCTGCTGTAGCGCTAGGAGAATGTAAGTTTTCTTTCCGATCTGGGGTAAGTTTTGGCGATTGTGTGTATTTCCAGCTTTCATCAATGATTCAGCGGACATGTTCACCACGAAACTAACTTATCATCCATGCATATGTATTCACACCTGCGCGCTAAAATGTTTTAGGCCTTTGCGCTTGTTCTGAAGAATCCCAGATGATAAGTTTGAAATCATGGATATGAAATAGGTTGTTGTTCCAATTGGACCTCGTTTGAATCTACAGTTGGGAGGTAGAAGTATTCCTAAGATTTAAGATTTTTTTTTCAGGAGTAAGTTTACTATAAAAGATTCTATATATATTATGAACAGTGCTGCCAGAATACAAACGAGAAACGTCTGACACCACGCCAACAACCATACCACTACTACCACTTTTCAGCGCTCTGTATTATAACCAGTGCCTAACGACTATGAAAGTGACTGAAAAATCGTTAGCTAATCACATTTATAAGCATTAGGAGATTGAAAAACTGAAAACTAAAATGCAGGGATCAATCAGTACATAAGAGGGAAGCACGGTTGAATTTGTTGAAATGTCGCAGTGATTTTTTGTCACCGGCTAGCTTAGAAACACATTTATTTACATCACACTAGACAAGTACGTTCGCCATCTTCTTCTCTCCCTACAACGCTCCCTCGTGCTCCCTTAACTGGTCTAAACTGGTTTCTATGACGTCACGTTTCGCGTCACGCAATTGTCACGTCTTTCGTTCCGACAGAAACGAAGGTGAAAGAATACAGATAGAAGAAGGCCAGAAAGCGTGAACACACACCTTCCAATATCAGTCTAGTGATTCTCCTTTCTAGCCAACATACATTATCTAATGAATGAGTAAGGAGAATTGCTATGTTATCAAGATCATATCCTTCACATGAATATTCTCACAACCTGTTTGCTGGGTTATGTACAGACGTACTTCGGAGAACTTACACATTAATGCAATACATATGATGTCGAGCCGGTGTATCTGGTATTTGATGACTCTCTCAATATTAATGAAATCATTTCAAACAATTTATTAATTGTAAAAAAAGGCCAAGGCCATTTATGGCGGTAATTACACCAGTAATGAAGTATTATCATTTCCCTGACAATGTCACCAGGTTCGATGACTTCTAAATTGCATCCTGTCCAACAATTTCAACAGTTTTCCCCTTCCACAATTTTCCTATTTAATAAAATATCTTACACTTAGCAAAAAAAAAATGTAGAGGGCTACAAACCAATTGAACCATGCTTAGTTCAGATGAAACTTACGAGATAAAATCTGAATCAAAGGGTATTTGCTCTAAAACTCTTCCTACAGAGAATCTAAAAGAAGCCTCAGTCTTGCTCGCAGTTGACGTGTGCGATTTATACTACGCCCATAGTCCTGAAAGGTTATCCTCGAGTGCTGAAAACCCTTATCCAGACGATCACAGTAGCCAATCGTTTAAGCTATTACGCTTAAAAAATGGCGCATGATTTGATCCATTCATATTTCGTGATTATGAAACAAGTGTGAATGTTAATCACGCTACCCTGATGTAAAGGTATTAGGTAAAGTGACGAAGTCTTTCTTTGTTCCGCTATGGGCCACATAAATTAACAACTTTTGGAGGCGGCCGAACATCTCAAAGCAAAGGGGCCGACTTCAAGCACCTGAACGAGCACAGCTTACAGAGTTAATCACTTAAATTATAAAAACCACTAATTTCATGCCAACTACCCTCGCTGATTGTCATTCGCCGCTACGAGACCGAAGCAGTCGCAGGCTAAAATTCCACAGAGTAAGGGTAAATAAGCTAAAGGTTGGTGAGATAACTGGACGCATTTCCACATTCAATTTGTACCTTGAAAAGCTTTTTTTTCGTTTTTGTTGTTGTCTTTTAAACTTAATCAAGCATTCTATGGTGGTGTGTGTGGTAAACTATGACAATCTTTTCTGTGACAAATTTTCGGTGAAGAAAATGACATGCTAATCTATCAAGAACGAAATTTGCCATTGACCAAAGATAGGGGGCTACTTTAAGGGGAACTACACTTCCGTTAGTTTTCCTTGACGAAAAGTATTGACGAAAAGTATGTTTTCTTTAATTTTCTATTGTATAGCGAAAAAAAAAAAAAACGTTTACAGGTGCCCTTCACAAGGAAACCTAGTTGGTGGAAATGTCATGGATCAACGTACACTCCGGCTGTAGCTATGACAGTTATGCGAAAACTGAAACACGATCTTCTTCTCTATGGTAGAAGAACGTTGGCTAGCTAACAAGGGACAAGCGTATAGAGATTAGTTGATACGTATACAGATTTGAAATATTTACCGACACATGCACGCATTATACAAAGGATGTCGACTGACAGAAGAGAAAAAAACCAAACGTTTTGTCATTCAATCCCACAACGAAAATATCAACAACAAATTAATTACTCACGCTAAAACTAAAAAAAAAAAATTAATAAATAAGACTTAAAACGGAAAGTTGAAAAATGCAGAGTTAATTATCACTTTAAAAAAGCATGTGGAATTTCCATTTTTTAATTGAAATAACAAGGTATAGTTGTTTTGGTTTGCAATTAGAACTTTTTTGCGTTTCATTTCACTGAAATTAAGTTTCAAAATCATAAATAAATAACAACTTCGGCGTGATCAGTCTTAAGCTTAGGATTCTCTACTACCTATATTTATTGACTTTAGAAAGTAAACTCGACTAAAAACGTCTTTTATCCAATCATTATTCGCAAAATATGCCAAATTCGAACAAAAAAGGAAAGCATGCAGAGACGATTACATTTCGTGAAAGAAAATTTAAGTTCGCCGAATCCCTCACCGTAGGAGAGTAACCAACATCTGGTAAAATGAATGTTCAGTCTCACGAGTAAATACGGAAAATATTCCCCAGTCGCATGAGTAGATACGGAAAATGTTACCCACATCAAAATCACACGAGGCTCCATTCTAATCTGAACTGACATGGTGTTCTACTCGAAGTATTATTATTAATAGTTGCTACTGAACGTGATCAGTTTTCAACATATCCTAACTTTTCGCCAGCAAAGATAAAATTAAACAACCGTCGTTTTACGAATTACACCGACACATTTGCATAATGCTAACGAAATGACAGATAGGGCAAAAAGATTAGCTATGACGTAATAAATGAAGATGGAATTTCAATTTTTGCGGACTTTTCCTCAAAACATCTTTTTCCCCGACTCCAATTCAGACTGATTATTTTCCCCTGGCCCTAACGGAATTTCAACTTCAATAATTTCATGACTTTTGGTAACCGAGGTGTTATGGTCGAATATGAAGTTCGTGCAAACCAGATCACGTCTTCAAGGTGGAGCCAAGATAAAATCAACCTGAACATGGAATATTTAGTGCTGGTCGCGCTGTGTACTCTGCGTGCCACTTGCTTAACCAACAGCGCAACGCAATAACTCTATTGTTGCAAATGTTTATGGTAAACTTTTTGATTTACAAGAGTCGTATCACTGCAGGGAGGCAAATCATTACAAGTGAAGAGAAGGAGGGATTCACGGGAATCAGTGAGTCACAAAAAGAAAAGAAAAACCTTAAATTGTCCGGGGCAATTTGAGTTATTTAGCGAGCTAAGGGTGGAGATCGCACAAGACAACGTCTCAGTGAGTTGAGAAACAATCTTTTATAATTATTCTTAATTTCTATAGACACTGCCGACAACCAATGATTAAAAAAATTAAGGCTTTGTGTTCATTACACAACAAGTTATACCACACTGAGCTGTCCATAAACACCAAAAGAAGAATCTTACAAAAATATAACGGAAATCACACGAAAAATAATATCGAAGATAACATGATTTCATATCTTACAAAGATTGTTACACCGAATCTAATGAAATGGTTTCGGTACTTTATCCTCTGAGGAAGGGATTAGCCTTAGGCGTTTGGCTTTGGACGTTTTTGTTTTTACTTTTGTGTATTACATTTTTTTTTAACATGATGTGTTAAAAATTGCTTTATGTTTCTGCTCACATTCTAGCTTTATGCAAACCCGCAACCAGCTTCGAAACTTTTCATTATCTTCTGACTCGCCGCGATACCGTAACTCAAGTCTTTGCTGACTGACATTTCGCACAAGTTATGTACCTACTCTAGATTTCAATTACTTTTCTTCTAGAGAATTCCTAAGATAACAAGTACTTTACATGAGAAACACGCTGAGACAGGAAAGAAGAGGTACTCGTTTCTTTGACAGAAATATATTGCAGCGCAATAAATAACTGTAGATGATCACGAAAGATATTAGCAATTTCATATTCCACTTTGTAGAAATGACAATCAATTTTCAATTGTCAAGTTCAGTTTAAGAGAAAAGCGGAAAAGTAAATACAACATACATCTGTTGAATTGACGCTGTGAGAGCTGATTGAGATTGTGGCTGGAAATTTCAATATATTGGATAGTTTGAAGTTCATGTAAAAGGTATATATTTTATGGAATATGAACCACCGTTAACTAGGTGTCGCAAAAGAAATCTAAAACTTAGGAACAACAATTGTATCAATGAACCACTTTCAATTTAATCGTATAAGAATCTGATATAAAGAGGTAAGACTCAGATATTCGAAAGTAAGATTGCTCACGCTAAGACGAAGTCAACCTCCAAGGTTCTTTAGAAGTTCAAGACAAAATTTTCTCATAGACTGTTTTGAAAAAAGCTTTTGCGCTAGAAATATTGTTTCATTCCTTAACGCAAAAATATTTTACCCTCTTCATATAAGCTAATATTTCAAGGGACTAAGAGACTTAAGGTCGTCGGAGCTCAGCAACAAGAGTTGCAAACCACAGTATTTCGAGGGGCATTTTTCGTTAACGACGGTCGACTTTTGGATTCCTTACAATCGGTGAATAATCAGTTGAAGGGAGAAATCTGTATTGGATCTTTGTGGCCATTTAAGCGTAAAAAAGTACGAATAGAGGTCGATCCTCAGTTCATGTCCAGCGCTCTTCTATTTATGAAACAATTCAACTGTTACAGAGTAGTAACAATTCCCACGTACAGAGTCTTTCATGTGTTCTCTGTTTCGCTCGCCTGTTTCATTGGTTGTTCACTTTTTCTCTTTCATCGAAAAAGCACCAGAGAAGGGATTGACCAACTGGAAAAAGGAGGCGGTCATCATAAACCAACTAAAAGATTCTCTCACCAGCCACCAGTACATTTGGTGAGCATCTTGCTCAGTGCGCGACTTTGATGCATAACTTAGTATGCGTAGTGCGGGTGCACAATAGCAACAAGGGGCAGGAATCAACTAGGGGATATTGTTTGGGTCAAACTCCAAATTCTCCGGACTAGCCGACGAAGAAATGTGAAATCATCAGATAAGAGAGCAAGCTTTTACATCTTGGTAGTGAAAGAATTACATTTTCCCTCCTACATGACTGTTTCATATATATTAACTCGATTTTTTAATTCATAAACGTATCACAGGCGTTAAGCAAGGTTTTGTTGCAGAATAATAGCCGCAATTGATGCGTCTTGAAAAGTTAGATCAAATGGTCAAGATTCATGACAAAATTCCTCCGATATTTTTTCCCGCAATTATGCATATCAATACTTATCCAACGCCGGGAAAAAAAAAAGACAGCCAATTATGGAGTAATATAACCAGTATATACTGACGCACATGATTGTTTGATACTTTTTAAATCGTGTAGTTGAACGGAGACGATTCTAAGATAGAAAAATAATACTTTATGTCATATCCTGAGGACAACACAGATATTTACCTATAGAGGAACCAATGCAAACCCGCTGCACATGAAAATACTACGAACAATTTCCTCTTTCAAACACCAGAAAACCTCTTGCGACAAAATTAAAATGCTGCTGTACTATAGTTAGTGACACAACAACTTGATGATTGATTTCGTATAGAAGCTCGGACAGAAATTACATCTATAGGAAAATCAAGAATTTGAAAAAACTTCCTCTTCGAGTGACGTCATTCGTAAAGTTACCCTGAATTTTCATAACATTGGAAACGATGTCACGATATCTTCAGTCGTTTTTGAGATAAGATAGAAAGAAACCTCGTAAAGAAGAGAAGCCCCAAAGTGGCAAAAAAGCCAAAGGGGTACTGGCGCGAAGAGAGGCCAAAGGACAGCCTTAAAAAATGAATGCCAAATTTTTCACTACAGACAAACCGTGKGYAYYWCCRTWKAAAWWKKAAWYGAAACCTCACACCATGAAAAAAAAGTGCTTGGCTAAAGTGTACAATAACAAATATTGTGAAAGATTTCCTTTCCGGAACACGTTTCAGACATCCACGTTATTTGTTGCTTAAGTTCAAATTCAAAAACTTGTGCTGAAATTTCCTGATTTGGAAAGCAACATAATTCCGAAAGTCAAAATAACCCACCGTAATGTATTACTTTTAAAATGATCCTCAAATTTAGAAACCCGTTTTCCTTTCACATGCAGAGATCAAAACTAAAACAGGAACGCTACTCGGCGACTCAACCTGCCCTAAGCCTTTTAAATTAAAATGAAAACATAAGTCTACCCTAATGTAATTCGTTGACGCCACATCTTAGATAATATTACCACATTCCTTATAAGTACTCGTTCATAAAATTGAACTATCATCTGATACAAATACATTTTTTCGTAGAATAGTGCACTCAAGAACTAACTCACAGCGCTCTTACGCGTACAAGAATAATCGATCTCTACATGTTGGTAAGTGACCAATTATTTTATCACGTCTGTTAAAAATCTTTGAAGTAAAGTAATGGCTAAAGAAACAGAGGGCCCGTTTTGAAAAATTGTTGTCTTTAAACATGTTTTGAAGTTAATTTTACTTCACACCGATTTGCGATCAGATCCATATTCTATAGAGCTTAGGTTGGCTATGACTATTGAAATTTCGTTTTAATCTTCTTTTATTAATATCGTAAGGCTTCCCCTTCGTGGTTCCAATCACAAAGTAAACAAAATATTAGAAGCTATCGGGGGGAATCACAAAATGAGGCAGTTTTCTCATTATGGCTGCAGCTTGTCAGAAAGACGTCAGTCGAGTACGATGACCTTTTACTTTTTACAACATATTTTTATCCGTTCATAAAAAAGATAAAAAACCAGTAGGTAAAGGAAGACAATTTCGTAACGCAGCTTAAATATAACTCGGCTTCAATCAGTGTTACCCACCTTGAAGTAAACTCGACTCAGCAGTTTCTGTCACTCCATACAACAAACATACGAATCGATTTACACCGGACAAGAATCAACAATTCTGTTGTCATTCTTAACTCATGTAAGCAATCTTACCTCGACTTGTTGCCAAAGCGCATTCCAGAATTTCGTGTTGATCCGGTTTTTCCAGTTTCTCCTGATTGGAGATTTCCACAGTGAAAGAGCTGACAGGGGAGCGCTATAAGTGAAGAAAAACAGTTGAACCAAAGATGCAAATGAGATAGTAGTTGACTCAACTGGAAATTTCCCTTCAACTCTCCAAAAATTTCCCACAATCATCCAATACCAGATAAATCGTTTCCAAAGTTTCCAGGAGATCACGTTTCACAAAGACTCACTTTAACTTTAATTCTGAGTTAGAAACATTGACATATAAGGTACGCGTGTACGTGGCACTGATAATTTTTCAAAATTATCACTAGAATTCATGAGCAAACAACATCACTAGTAAAAAAATTAGCCGTACAGCATATTTTTAATCCTTAAACTCCCATGACTGACCAAGACTGAATTTCTCCGCGTGACGATACCATAACAATATCGGGCAGACAAGTGAGGAGCCCCCCTTACGGAAAAAAGAAAAATATCTTATAGGGAATTACAAGTTGATCCAATACCAAATTCTCTGAAGTAATATCATCAGACTTGTATGGCAGACAGTAAGTAGAATTTACTAACGACATTTTGGTGGTGAAAGGGTTTAACTCATTCGTCCAGAGGATAAGGTCTTCACATCGCTCATGAAAAGCTTGGGGGAGCAAAGAGTCGTGTTTAATCTCAATCCTAATCCAATAACTTTCATTGATTTTCAGTGATGGTATAACAAAATAAATCAATCGATTATTATTTCATACCCATAAAAGAAGTATACGATAAATCTGTTACTTTCAAGCCTGAAACACGAACTCTGTGCCCATCAATTCTCAAGGAGTCTTGTTCAAGGCCAAAAATTGCCAAGGTCAATGTCAAAACTTTTTTCATCGACCTTCAAACTTTCTCATTAGTGCCAGAACTCAAGATCTCTTAATTATTGGCAACAAAGTTTTGATAAACTTTTAAGGAAAGCTCCTTGGCACATTTGCGCTATTAAAAGCTGAGTTTGTTTGTTTAACTCTGCAAGTAAGCTGTCAACTTAATTAAAAATTTGTATGAAATTTAAAAACATATGTCTTTTTCAGCTGCTTCCTTCAGACAAACGAAAACGGGGCATAAAGAAGGGTGTTTCTGTGATTTTCTGAAAATCCTTGTTTTGTTTTGTCGTTGTTTTTTTTCAATTGAAGTGTTCAATGCAATGAAAGTTTATACACCATTCAAGATATACCTTAAAAGCTTTCTCTGCGGAAGAAACTGAGGACACTTAAAATTTCACTTAAAACTGCGTCAAAAGGAAACAAAAAGGGAAAAAAATTGTAAAAGATATCAATGAACAGTGCTTAGATTTCACCTTGTATAAGTAAGACCCTAGAATTGAGACAGCCAAAAGTGAGCCGGATCCTTAATCAGCAACAAAACAAATAAAAAACGGACGTTTGATTAAAAAAACAAAAAAAGAAAGAACAAAGCATTCAATATCCCTTCATTCTTCGCACTCAGCTAAGCCTCGTGTAAACTCTTTGCATTCCTGATTGCAGGAAAAAACACACGATCACACAAAAGCTTGGATCGACTCTTCGACCGTTATATTGAACTTGATAATCATACAATAATCATCACTTTCAATGACGTGTAATCTGGTACTAAAAACACCGGAAAATCTCGGGATTTGTGTAATTTGCGTCATCAGACTGAGAGTGTAACAAAACACAATTTCCTGCCAGGGAAAGTACTACCGATGAGATTCAAAACGAGGCTAAACATTGCACGTTTCAAACGAATAGTGTCGTGTGCCAAACATAAGTCTACCGTAATGTGATTCGTTCACGGCACATCCTGAGATAATCTTGCCATAATCCTTATAAGTACTCGTTCATAATTACGCCAACCTGAATAATACGGCTACGCAATCTCGAATCGAAGATGTTAGAGCAACATTAATTTTATTGTGTGAGCGAGCTCTGAAACAGAGAACTTTGTGGGGTAAGGATTACTTTTGTTCTTTTTGTTTTCTTAGGAAAAAGCCAATTACAAAGAAAGAAAAAAAATTGAAATATTCTCGTGGAATTTCGCTCTAATACAATAGAAAAACTGCATATAGTTTAAGCCTATTAGCTTATGAAATGTCGTTGAAGGTGAATATTTAAAGAAGAGCTGAACGAATCATTTTATATTCCGAAAAACGAGAAGAGAGTACGGTGAAGTGAAAAGAAAAGAACACAACTCTGAGGAAAGCCTCAAGAAGAGCGGAAACAAAAACTCTCCCTTTCAATTTTAACCACGAAAAAATTTTCTTCGTTCTGCGCGGAAAAAAAAAACAAAAAAAAAAAACAGACGAAGTTGCAACCTATTACAACGGTAGGTCAAATTTTACAACCTCACGCGCGCTCGGCTGGCCAAAACTGAAGCAACACGAATATGGAAACGGTGACAAACATCCGTCGACCTACTTATCCATCAGAGGTGTTCATTTCCGTACTCGTGGATGATTAAGAGGACAGCGACGATGATAACTAAGATAAGGAGGCGTAACAAGACAATAATGATATCGATAACACTAATAATAATAATGATGATGATGTTGATGCTGACTTAGTAGATACATTAAAACGACTACACGTGAAAAAGAAAAAAGAAAAAAGAAAAACAAGAAACGGAAAATCAAACCAAATAACTGATGTAACATACCGTGCGTTCATCTCTTGAAATCGACCTCTCGTCGAGTCTGGTATTAACACCCCCTAAATACTTCGCTTGCTTCTCGTCCAGAGTTTTGATAGTTGGGAAGATCTTTATGTCTTCATAGGACGCCTGGAGGGAAAAAAAGGTTATGAATAACTTGGCATCAATAAACGCTCTGCTACACAGAAATTTTCGAAAAAAAGTCTGAAAACCTGTGTCAGAAGGCACTTCACGGAGCTTCATTACAATCTTTCGAATGATATTTTGCTCTGTCTGTGCAAAACTATCGCCAACTTGCAGAAGATTGAAAAACATTTATCTAGTATTGAAACACAAAAAGAACAACAGGAAACCAAGGATGGCTGAGCATGAGATATCACTTTCAAACCTCTCAGAAAGACGAACTTGATTCTGATAATATATGCAAAGAATATTGCTAATTACTGCACAAACGACCAATATTTGATTCTCACAGGTTCTCGTTTGGTTAAATGCGGATAAAGCCCTCTTTGCTGATCCAAGCCTTAGAGGCAGAATACCTTAAAAAGCTGATCTTTGTCGTAAGTGACCCTTGCAGCTCTTTTCATGTACTGCATGATCTCCAGCGCGCATGACAACTGCAGCAGTGCCGACTGCTGGACTTTCAGTAGGCCTACGGCGATCCGAAATAAAGCCTGAAAAATTTTACGAAGTTGGAAAGCAATCCTACATCACACTTATCATAGATTAATTCTACGACTAAATTCTACAAAAATGGTGTAAATGATTGAAAACAAAGGCATACTTTCAACGGAAACTAGAACCGAGAGAGAGGAGAACCTCTCGTAAAACAATTATTTACATTGGCAACTAAACTTCTACAATTATCAGCGGGTCAAGCATGTTATGCAGACGTGCGAGGGTAAATTTCAACTTTTATTGAAATAAACTTACCTCTCTTCCTTCAAAGACAAAACAATCCCAGATTCGCATAGCGGTCTGCAAAATTGAAACGGAAAATGTTGATAACTAAGAAGAAGAAAAAAACCACGAAACTGCGGGCGAAGAAAATATAAAGAACAAAATAGAGTACACCCGTTGAAGAACCTCGACTCTGTAGGATGATATCAAGATGATAACGTTTAAAATTTTTTCGATTAAAAGAAAAGTAAACAAAAGAGAAAAAGTGTCAAGGCGCTTTTTGATTAATTGTGGTTGAATACAAACCGCAGGATAAACAAAGTAAAATATCACAAGAGGTCCATGTGATAGTTCACCAGACTCACTAAGCGCGGAAAAACACGAGTGAACAAGTCCTGTCTGTAAGCTTTAATTCGATTGGTTGAGAAGATAGCGCGAATTTTTTTGTACCAACAAGAACACCGGATTCCATTCGACACTCGATTGAAAATTGGTCTAACTAGCAATCTTGTTAGATATTTCAGGGCTACCGTCGCAAGCTGGTTAAGAGTTTGTTGAGTTTGTTGACTGGAATGATAAACTGGTATCCCATTTTTGCTGTGCAATTTCCCTACTTGTTTCAGAGGGAGTAGGAAGCGGAAGGAGCGTTTTTTCAATTTTAATACATAACTATCGTGAAAAATCTCAATAGTTTATCTTGATTTTTTTTTAAGATCATTATCTTAAAAGATAAAATAATTTTATTCCACAACTATTTCTTCCACACCCGGGGGTGATCAGAGTGTAAATTCGTCTTCCCATTTCAAGACGCAATCAAACAGACACGTAATGAAAAACAAGAAAATTATCAACTCAAGGATGTTACTTTAACAAAACTAAATTCTCAGGAATTACCCACAAGCAATTGTATCATCGTCAGTTGGGAAAAAGCCTGAGACAACGTTGATCTCACAAGTGGTAGGATTGAAGATCGAACCCGTAAGGAAATTTTCCCGGCGAAAATACAACAGAATTTTTTTTAATAAAATGATGTTTTGTTTTTTCTTTCCTTACCTCAAATGGCACAGCATCGATGAAGATTGTAATAAACCAGTTGAATGTGACAGTGGAGATGTCAATTCCATAGTACTTCAGGTGTGCGTGTAAAGCTGGTAACGATTCACTCAGGAGTTCATTCAGAACAGACTACAACAATAAAGTAAGTGAAATGTCTTATAGACAATTTACGATCAGTTTTTAAAGGGGCTACGTCACTGTTGGTCAATCTCGAAAAAGTGGAATCTAAATTTTTGAAGTTCCAAATTTGCAACCCGTTGTAAACTTTACTATCCCAGGCTACCGTCGTTCAATTTCGGGTTTTTTACCGCTTCTGAAGCGTTTTCATATCTTATCACGCAATCATCACGTATTCTCTTTCACGTAGAAAGTTAGTTTTCCAAAGCGAGGACTATGAATCAAGACCCTGTGAATCAAAATCACGCGACACAGCCCCTTAAAGATAAACTGCATTAAGTGTTAGTAAGAAAATCACAAAAAGCTTTCAGTTTCCCCGAGATCCCGGTTCCCAGCTTAAACTCCCCTTTAAATCTAAGCCTCTGGAAAGCATTCAAACGGCTTATTTGCTTATGTCTTTCGATTTATGATCCAAGCATATTTTTTGTTAAATACTTTCAAAGTGCACTGTCCGAATCACAAGGAAAATATCAACAATTATAATTCAAGAAGTTTGTGTACTCTTAAAGCCTATTCTAATATACTTATAAATGGTGTGACCTTCAAATGGCCATGCCATTATTTTCCACCTTTGTTTCCAATCGTCAAATGCTACTTTCATAGTAGCAAAATGACCTCATCATGACTCAGGGTTAAGGATTTTTTAAAACGTCAAATAAATAAATTGAGTAATAAATAAATAAGTGAATAAATTAATAAAATAAAATGATGAAATTCCAGCTCCCATTTTACTCCTGTAGAAGAATCAAATGGGGTTTATTAGTAAAGGAGCACATAAAGGATCATCGGCTAGTTCCGATAACCTCTGATTGTTTTATGATTGCGATCGTGTACGCATAGATAAAATTCTTCCAAGAACTTTAATTTTCAATTGATAACATGCATAGCAAAGATATCTATAACCTGATCTGCCAAAGCTCCACTCAATGCTTTATCAAAATAGTTTTTAAGATAAACCTCTGAAACAGCGACAAAAGACCTGCAGAGCAATCAAAATAAACTTGACTTCTGTTTTGTCCCAATAAAAAAAAGTACCGTGAGAGCCAATTCCACTTTCTGTGCCAGAACGCGACTAGGAGTATAGTTATTCCTTTATTAAAACCCACCCTCCCACCAATTCGTACTGCATAGAGTCTTTCTCAGGGCCACAACACAATCACTCGACCAGAACTCACACCTAGACCTCTCTCGGCCAGGAGTCCAATACACTAACCATTGAGCCAGTGCGTCTCCCAATGTCTTGTTTCTGCTTTGCGAAGCTATCAAAACCTGACGTGACTTCGTCATGCTTGTCGATCACTTTTTCCGAAGTTTAAGCAAACAGAAAAACAAGGTAATTCCTCTCTTAGGTCCTACTACCAGTTACTTGGATTTTTTTACCTGCCAGGATCGATTATTACCAACGTCTATCTACAAAAAACAGTATAAGTTTTTGAAACCAAAGACAAAATACGAAAATATTAATTACCAAAAGGCGTCTTCTTCGTCCATAAAAAGAAGACACATGGCCACAATAAAATTCATCCCCTTAAAAAAAAAAAACATTGGATAATTTGCATGGCCAAATCCAAGATAGTCATGCAAGGTTGAGTGAAATATCCATGTTATACTAACACTTACACTTTGTTTAAACAAACAAAATATAATTGCAATAGTCTTCTAAGGGAGACAGATGCACTCCTGAAGACAGAATTATAAAAAAAGATTATCGTAAGCGAAGTTGTGGTACGAGCGCCCCATTACCCAAACTGACTCACTTGCCTACAAGAGATGAACCTTCCACTTCACGGAACACACCAGCTGAAGTGATGTTGAAACGAATTGGTAACGCTTGATTTCGCCAATCGAAAATTTTGTAATTTCAGATGGCTCATGAAATACGTGCTTGAAAGTAAACAGTGATTAAATTAATTTGTCTAGAAGGTTCGTTCCGCATCGGAGACACTCGTTATTTACACGCAAGTTCGTCTACAGACAAAGTAGTATGTAAACAGTGCTAATGGCGATCTTCGCCTTCAAAACCTGCAAAGTCTAAGTTAAGAGAAAAAAAGAGCATTAAGGCAAGAAAAAAGCTACTGCATGAGGAAGGAACAAAAAATATCGTCTCTCAATATTTCACACTTTTCTTCAAGAAACAATAAACGCAATTTGTAAAGCTTTCTCGGCAAAATAGCCTGGTTTTTTCCATAATGTAGGCCCTCTTAGTTTCTGATGTAAATTAACAAGGTATTAATTCGAAAAGAAGAACTCCCTTCACGTCGAAAATCATCTAGCGGATCAACAACACGCTTACTAATCAAATGAGACGATCCAGCCATGCAAACTTACTTTGAACAAGGAGCTAATGGCAATAAGATAAGAAATAATTTATGATGATGGAGGTAATTACATGAGCTAGGCTGTTATAATTAAAACAGATAAGCTGATTCATTTAAATAGCAAGCTTCACACTTTTACCTAAGTGTGTTGCAGTGGGGATACAATCTCAGTTAAAAAAAATTCAAGTCATAAAAATAACAAATAAGGTTACATTAAAGCACACTAAATACCAATCTCCCAACGAATCAAGATAAACTAGGGCACATTTTTTTTTGCCCCCCTCTGTCTTATTTTCACTAGATTGCTCCGAACTTTTAATCCACAAACAAATCTACTAAGTTACGATCTGATCATTAATTTTCTCTTCTAGTTGCCATGCATTACGCTATGAATTAGCAAAGAAAATTTACTTTCTCTCACATAACCTAACTGATAAGTTTGCCTTTTCTCATCACCCTCCAGTGGGGTAATTTACTAAAACTGTAGGGAAAATTTGCAAGTCAATCATTGTTAGGGTGTGAAATTAAAGGTTACGTCTCTGTAGTATTTAATTTTGTTCTTGTGCCATTCAACAAGTCCTAAAAATTACGTGACCTCGGCCCTAAAAAACAATTCAAAATCAACGACGTTTATGATTTGCAGTCAAGACAGCCAGCAGACGTTCTTATAAATATTTCATTACACCAGAAACAGGATTCTCTCACGGAATCATCGATTATGGTGTAGTTAATGATACTTGACATCAAAGACTTGTTTAGTGGGGGTTAACAAATACTGATATCATACCTGGAGATAGTTTATATCTGGACGATGAACACAAAACGCGTGGAGAATCCTTGACAGTTTTTTTACCTTCAAATTAACAAACTTCAGTTGAGAGTCAAATAAAATTGCAACAATTCACTGAGAGCTTTACATTTCTATAACATCAACACTGCCATAGACCACAAATACCGCAGAACTTTTACGATAATAGGCAGGTTGTCACGTCACCTAGCAACAAACTAAAATTATGCAAAGAGGCGTAGTAGCTTTCCAGCTAGGTAATTACTGCTTCATTGCATGTTTGGAAACATTAAATATTTTCTTGAATGTTTTAAGAGCGCATCCTTCTCAAGGTAAGTTCGACTCAAATATTTAAAAATCAACCATTCTTTTACGATTCTTTTTCTTACCTTTCAATGAACTGAATGGCAAGTCTGCTAATTGACGCAGAAATTTCCAAGCTGTTATTCAGTCTTATGTAAGCATAGAAAGAACTTCATTTTCGTTCGTTAGATGGGAGAAATTTTGCCCTAGAGGCCTCGGGGCCATCACTAATTTCACAAACGTGTATCACAAAGAAACTGTGGTAGACTTCACGGATATGGTGGATAATTTTCAGTTTTGAACGATGCTCACTACCAGGAATTGTCAAACGTTTTGTCATGACCACGGTACAAGAAAAAAATGTGTTCCCCGTGAGGGATCGAACGCTTAGCCTAGCAGTTCGATGCTATACTACCGAGCCAGGGTGGGCTAATGTAGAGCTAATGATGAGCGAAGCCATCAGTAAGTTCAAGTACAACGTCTATTAAAACCTAGTCACAAAAGAATCACGGCTCTTCCTCTGGAGAACGAAAAGAGCCTTCGCGAAAGATGTTTTTTTTTTTCTTGTCACAAAAGTGGGACAAAGGAAAAACATCTGTCACTATTTCTTTACCGAGCTCAAAATTTACCATCTTCCCAATTCTGTGAACAACAAAACTTTCTTCCACTGAAACCTCGATTTCACTTCTTGTTACCAAGCACGAATATCCATTTTGTCACAAAAAGGAAAACGGTCTAGTAAATTCAGGTTTTGTAAAAAAATTGATCGATATTTCTTAATTGTGGTGTGTAAAAGAATATCTTTGAAATTGTAAAATAAGTTCATTTGCGAATCAACAATCTGGATCTCGAAAAACCTTAACCCCTATCTTTCCAAATTAAAATTTTTGCCCTAATCTGCAATTAAACACAGTCACAATCCTACCCCATCGGAGTCTGCTGATCGAAAGCGTTCATTGTTCGGCATGGTTCGTAACAGATCACACTTGATTTGATTCTCGGTAACACCGAGCGGGTGATTGGCAGAGAGACTCTAAGATTTGAAAGAATAAGCAAAGTATTAGTTCGACTGATGTATAACTTATGTCTTGTCCTTGAAACCTGTGTAAAACGTCCTACACAACTCAAAAAACTACTGCCACAATTCATCAAAAACAATCATAAAAGCAATAGCACAGCTTGAACTATTAACACGATACATAAAGCAGGAGGACGATATTAAGAAGAAAACGATAAACACTCGTTACTTGCTTGAGAACAAGAAATGTTCCGAGTTCCTGTGAAGATTCGAATTCTAGCTTATTCAGTTCGACTCCGCAGTCTGCCTCGGGGAACTCACTCGCGAGCCGCGCCATATTCGTGGTTCATATGTGATAGTTAACTCTTTCACTCCAATAACAGAACAAAACAGAATTTCACCTTATTATATTTATGCAATATCAAGGAGACAAGTGATGGGAATAGAGAAAAATACCAATTAGGGGTTGACTAGTTGATCCAATACCAAATTCTCCAATCTAACATCATAAGAATTGTATGACAGACGGTAATGAGAATTGCTAATGAGACTTTAGTAGTGAAAGGGTTGAAGGATGATGGTACCGTGTTTACATCACTGTATACATCAACTTTTTGGAAATTTCTTCGGACGAATTACTCGGTGATGAAGTTTCAGAGGCAAATCAGTTGCTAGCCTGCGCGTGCGATCTGGTAAGTGCTAAGGCGGAGCTGCAGAAACCATCGTCACCGGAGAGCGTAACGATTTTGTCTCGCTCGCCAGATTGCACGTCTCTCATGGCTTTGCCGCAGCGACAATGACACTATTCTGTTTCATGGCAACTTCCAGATTCACGTTAGGATATCAGACTGTTGTCGTTACAGGACGCGTTAGAAGTTGAACAGGTTTTTGTCTGAACAATTGCGATAAATGTCGGACAAAAGTTGTGGACGCAACTGCAGTTGGGTCTTCTACTCACAGCCCTTTCTTTCTGAATCGATGACTAAAATGCGAAAGGTATTAGACTGAATAAGGCGACAAGGCAAAGTCATTTAGAAACGATAATTTAGAGTGAGAGAAAGCAGTAAGAAGAGCTAAAACAGAGTGGCGAAACCTTACTGAGGCCTCACGAGCCACTAGGGACGGTGAGGCTGGGTCACTGAGAAGTGGACGAGAAGTCAGATTATCAGAAGGAATGGTCATTTTCCCAAAGACATACCTTCCGTCTCTCCACTTGGAGAAGTAGCTTTTGATAATAATCTCTTCCCTGAAAGATAAAGGAAAAATACAAGTCTTAAAGACAATAACATTCTAGACACTTCAAAAAAGTGCGTTCCCCTCTCAAACACTTCTTTAGAACATCTATGAATGTTACGACTGCTAAAGGAAGATTGTAATCAGAAATGAACTGGAAGAAATTTACCTTCTCTTTCTTTAAGTGTTCCACCTTTTGGGCCATTGCACTAAAAAGAGAAACATCAAATTCATTAAAACCCCAACAGTAATGCTGAGATTACTGGCTTAAAAACTGCAGTTGCTTAAAGCGTCTTCCGTGGTATACTGTTCTCATATCTTATCGCTTTTTTCGGTTTGTTAAAGCCGTGGAGACTTTGTTTCTGATGTACATAGCCGATCACATATCTTGTTTTTGAGTCCTTCGTTCACTCAGTGCGCGATACGGAATTGCTCCTTAAGAAAATCATTTGAAACTTCTTTGAACATAAAGAAAGTCATACGTGTAGAATTATCCTTATAGGGACCTAACGCAGTCAGGACGGCAACGCCACGGAATTAAAAAATTAATTTTTACTTTTAGTTAAAATTTCGAAAATGACTGCATGTGTTTACCGTCTCATAGGGCGCCAGACCTCAAACTCAACATAACGCATGAAAGTAGCGTTGAGGGCCAAATGGAAATTAAAATGATTTGCCGTCTGGTTTTGGTTCGCAGACGACGCAAATTTTGGTGATTTCACGTTGTTGTTTTGCAAAGGGCGGCTAAGAAATGAACAAAGTTTTAAAACGCACGTGCTGGGCTATTGTTCTTCCAATTAGATCTTTTGTTTTTTGACGTTCCCGTTGCCGTCGCCGTCGTGGTTGCGTAAGGTCCCTAATAACTCCAAATACGAGGGAGATTCAAGGTAACAAAGTCAACTGATAAGAGAAGGGCAAAAACGTGGTTTCAGTGATTAAAATGTGTGCGAAACAAGCAGGACTCGGTGAATTTTACATTTACCTTTTCCACACTTCGCTTCTGCAGCTCCTAGGGATACCTTCTCTCAATAATGCTTTCATTCCTTGCTGTTGACATAAAATAAGGGTGAGTTCAAGACTGGCGCCAAACTGAAAATTGTCTCCACTTACCCTTTTTACATCTTCAAACATCTTTCAATAAGTTAAAACGAAAAAAAAAAAATCAAAATATCTCGTGTTACCCAGAATAAAGACGCTGACTGTAGTTTGCTATATACTTCTTTTATGTTTTAAATTCGAACTCTTTATTTCATCGAGTCTCGCAATTATGAAGTCCTAACTAGTGTTCTTCTGATGCCACATACTCTATTTTTCGAATATTCTTTCACAATACGAAAAAACTGCTAAACGTAGTAACAATGGAGCTGCTTTAAGCTCTCTAGATAACAGTGATGTCACTTCCACCTCAACCATTCTACAACTTGGAACAATTGGCCTCTTGTTAGCTTCACGTACCTCGTTAAAAACCACATCTTTGCTCTCTTGTTGCCTGGCTTTCATATACTGTGACCACAAACGGGCATGACCATCTCTGTTCTAAGGAAATTAAATAGTTATTGAACACGTCTAAGGCCTGCAAAAGGGAGTTTATATTTTCAAGAACAATGCAAACTTTCCACAAGATAACGTGGGCACTAAACTGAACAAAAGTAGCCAGAAAGGTTAGTTCATTTTACCTGATAAAAGCTCGAGTAATGTTGTTTAAGCTCGCGACAGAGGAAGTGAAACAGTTCACTTTCACTCTCTCTGGCTCCACGGATAAAACCATAACTGTCTCTAAAACTACTTGAAGCTGGTGTGCAACTACAAAAGAGAAGATGGTCGTTCAATAAAGAGCCCCTAAACCATGAAATCCCTGACACAACTTTCCCCCCCGATCGGTAATCTTTATCAAAGCAAGCTAGATTCTTCTCTGTCGTTATTCATTGAAATATTAACCAGCAATATGCGGGACACTTGTCACATATGAACGTACTTTATGGCCTTGCTCATTAACAAGTACCTTTTACTGTTGTGGCGATATTAGTAAAGCATCTGAAAACTAAGCCACTGAATCTGTTAGCTTTCCAATCCTTAATCAAGATAGTTTCAATTTTTTCATTCTCTTAGGCTTGTGACAAAAAGTTTAACATCCTTATTCAGAAAAAAATATTTCTTGCTAGGTTTCGAATAGTCCTGGTAACTTGGCTCAATTTCCGCCGTTCTCTAGAGTCTAAGTGTTCAATCCTCGAAAGAGAATCGCGGGTTCATTTCCCGAACAGCGGTCGGCAGTCGAGTCTGCTTCTCTTACTTTCTTCATAAAATAAGTCATTTCCTCAACTCTCGTTTCGCATTTCGTATTTGTTCAGGCAAAGAAGATTGACAACTGGTTTATTAAAAAAAATTCATTCTTTCAGATTTCCTCGCATCCTAGGGTTTCCTTGATCATCACTTCTTAAAAAGAGAGTTCAGTTTCTACTCCTCCCTAACATCAAAACGACTCCGAGAAATGGTCAGATCACAAGAAAATTAGCCAACAATATTTGAATATTTAATAATGACATGTCCTTTCAAATATTGGGGGGTAGCACAAATCAGTCGATTGACGATACGTTGACGAGGACAGAAGTTTTAAATGGCAGAAAAAAAGCAAAACGAATGTCTTATCGAGAGATAATAAGCTGAAATTGGAGCTATGTAGGACACAAAGCAACAGTACGACAAAAGAATAAAAAAAAAAAAAAAAAAATGAGGAAGTTAAACAAAGGTGGCACTCTTAATTTTGCACCATTCATGCATTCATGTCAAAAGATGACTTGGCAGTGGGCTATATAACCCAGCTGTCAATATGTAATTAGCATCAGTTGTCATCACCCGCCTTAAATTTCAGATAAGATTAATGATGTGAAGATCTTCAATTTCTCGAAAACAAAAAGTTCCTCTTTTTTTCGCCATAAATTCCAGCCTGCCAACGCAGTAAAAACTTTTATGACAAAGGCGTAAATTTCTCATCGGGCAAGTCACACATTTCCTCCTCTCCACCCCCCTTTCATAAGCGCTGTTCCTGGCATTTTCTGCACCTGCTGGCACATTTAGCAATAATAGCAATAAAACTGGATAAGAGGAAGGGGGGAAAGGAACACACTTATTGGCACGTGCGACAAATTGATTAAAATACTTATACGTTATTTTTTATTTTTTTTTTTTTCCTTTTTTTTTTTGAGATCATTTTATGAAATGCGAGATTCAAGTTCGTTTAAAAGATAAAAATAAGTCCTTAGCTCCTTAGTGGAGTCCTTTGAAAAGATATCATGGTTAATGTGATATCAGATGAAGAATTTTGACATGCAAAATTTCCAATAGAAACTGATCGTTCAGTTTGTACAGGTAATCGGATAGGGCCGAGTAAAAATTAAGGATGTAAAATTCACGCGTTTTTTCAGAAGTTGAAGAAATTGCAACGAGGGAACGAGCCATTACTTTTTTATAGTATAAAGGGAAAATCTTTCTTTTATAAAGGAAGTACAACATGCTAGTTGTTATGCACTTTTGTAGGAAGACACTTCAGTATTCTGTTTGCGACAATTAACTGAAAAATGAACCGCGAATCAGCTGAATGAAGTTTTATTTTTGCACAACAACGTCAAAGCAACTAAACCAGCCCTACTAAAAAAGTATTCGCTATCGATGAAATTAAAATACGTTTAGGCAAAGTTAATCCATTTAAATGTTTTTCTTAGTTGTGTAATTGCCCTAGCCACCAACAAAATTAAGGAAAATTGCCCTTCGTTTCAGCCAATCAGCATTTAGTAATTTTACCCTTTGAGTTATTAGAGTGACAACTTCACTTTAATTACTACCACGGCTACGTCACAAAGATTTCCCGCTAAAAAGAACGTGACTTAATCAACTCAGAGTGTCCAGCCAGGCGCGCAGGATGACGTAACAACTTCAGAGAAGCGACTTTTTTTTTATGCCTAAATTTTCTTCAAGCCTAATTTTTCTTCTTTGTCATTAACTGTTGTGAGCTGTGTCTAGATCAAGCAAGATGCATCTCTGCGAGTGGTAGCATACACATAAAAGGTTCGTACTTTTCAAACCCGCTGAATAGAGGTGAAAATTACAGTAGTCGAGGGGAAACAAATTCGGGACTTGGACAATCGACCGCCCAATACGGTGCCGCTAAATACAAGTTCGACTCTGATTGAAGATGGACTAACAGTTTTACTGGGACCACGCGGTCTATTAATGTAAAACAAAGGGTAAAAGTTTTCACAAAAACAAAACACTTTTGTATTGATTTCAATACGATCCGTTTAAAAGCAATAATCACTATCGATTTCGTTGAACGTTGGGTAGACCTTAAGAAACAGCGCCACGGACAAAATTTTGAGTAACGAAAATTGGTAATAAACGAATCTAAGAAATTTGAGATAAAGCTGTGAAATACTAGACTTTCCAGGCCGGTTACTAAAACGTGGCACAGCCAAAGCGGCGATTTTAGACGATTAACTGACCTTTGCAAGCGGTTTGTTCGAAACAGAAAGTCTTTTTCAAGTGTTAGCTGTATGCGGCTTCTTAAAAATACTCACAAAAACTAACTTTCATCGAAAACGTTTGGAATTGTTTAGAACGCAATTCTCGTAAACAACAAGGCCCAGTTGTATAAAGGGCGGATAATACTGTCCAACGGATAAATCACTACTCGACGGTTAAGTGATAGCAAAACACAGCGTTATCCACCAGATAGAGTTTTATGCAGTGGATAGCGCTATCTAACCTTCGAAACACCGGGATCAGGTGAGCTTTGTTTAAATAACTCTGCCTTAATGTGCAAGTAAAGGATTATTATATTCAAAGGACAAAAAAGTCCTTATCTCTGTGATCTTCCACCGAGACTTGGCTCACATTGACAAACATTGGCGCCCAAGTCGGCCCGCGAGATGAAATATTTATTTCCTTCTCGACAAATTTACAAAGAAACTGAACGTGAAATACTTATAAATTTAAAAAAATTTAAGTTATCATGCAAAATATCTCCAGTATTTGCACAAGTCTAGTGCACATCTGTCGAATCCGCTGCAGGTGCCAACATTCGTTTTTGTTTAGTCACTAATGCAAGCAACGCACGTAGAAGAATTGTTAAAACAGAAGAACTAAACACCCTACAGTGGGGAAGAATAGTTAAAAGAAAAGAACCAAACAGCCTACTGTGGGGAAGACTTCTTTAATTGATTTCAGCTTGACGTCGTAGTTCAGCCATTCAGTCACGATTTCGCTCTCGAATGTAGAACAACAGAAAACTCTGTTAGTAGAAATCCATTCCTACTTTAGTGATTTCAGAAGAGGTAAGTGTTGAAAATGTTACTCTTTCCTCCCTCTTCGAAGGACTCCTTCGTTTCTTGAAGGTTATATGAAATTATAAGGGTAGGTTGATGATTAGAGCAAACAAAAATAAAAGGAGACGAAGAAATATATATCCTCAATTTGTACAGTCAAAGCCACCTAGCGTCGTCATCCAACGGTAAGGAGGAAAATTTCTTTAATCTTGTCACCCCTATTAAACAGGAAAATAATTCTTTGAAATACTAGAAAATCAACATAAGTTGACTTTGAAATGTAGTCATTCAGAGTGCTAGATTTGATCATTTCCTTGAACTACACCGAAAGTAAAACATTGCAACTTAATGTATGTTACTTCCGATAAACATTCAATCTCTGTTAAAGAAAAATATCGCTCCGTACGTATGTTACACACATCGGATGATTTTTTTTTTTCCTCGAGACTTGCGCAACAATTTTGATTAAAGGAAAACCCGAGGATAGTTGCTAAGATACCAAAACAAAGGAAGTATGCTTTTTTCATCCGTTTGATAGGGGAGTTCGACTATTCTCTCCCCTTCCACAATTCACCTCATGACCATGAATAATCTAAAATCTGGTACAAAGCATTTTCCCGAACGATTTCTCTCTGCGGGTACTCTGTCAAGACAAAATGCAATTCCGCTTGAGACAGAAGACATTTCCAGCTCAACAGCACCAAATACAAAGAAAGAAAGCAATGAGACTAAAGAGAGGTTCCCGCTATCCGCACGCGTTGTTCTCTATACTATATGGAGCTCGAAATAACGTGACAACTCAAAGGATTGGTCTCTGGAAATAGATAAATTTTCCCAATTAGCAATTTGGTAACGTGGAAAAACCTTCTCAGGACACTCAATTGGATCTTTTTTCTTTCAGTTTCTTCGCCAAAATTCAACTTATCATTCTTGTAAGACACTGACGGTACTAAAGCGGTATTAAAGCGCTTGGGAGCATCTATATAAATAAAATAAGATTAAAGATTAAAAGAGAGATATTTTGGAAACAACAAATACTAAAAAAATCTCAGAGAATTTGGATGCCTTTCTTAGAAATTCTCTAAATTGCGTGCACTTTCTTTAGATCCATGAGTGCTTTAAAATACTAGAAATTACGTAGCAAAACTGTTCATAAATTGACTTGATATCATACACAGAAAAGAATAGCGCCATGGTAGCGGCTTGGAAAATTCTTCGTTTTTTCATAAAGCAGCGGCAATATAAGATCCATATTGAATTTTGAAGTGAAAAAGACCAATTTTCAGGTAATTGGGTTTTATCAACTGACTTGACAATAGAAATTGTCCACCGAAAATAGTTTCTAAAGCTGTCGTTTCGCGCGTTAATCCTTCGTCCAGTACACTTAAAAGATTTCAAGATCTCGTAAACTTATATAACCAGTGTTTTAAAAATAGAATAGAAGGCGATTTAGCGAATTATTAAGGGGATTACACTATTAAACTCTTCATCTCGGATATTATTTTTCTTGCGTTCTGATTGGTTCAGTCCATCTCAGCTATCAGCTCATAATAGTTAAATAATGGGTTATACACAAGTTTCCAAGATGACTTATAGCTCGCTCTTGATCAATAATTAAGCACGATTCGTTGATTATGGTGCAACATGAAATCTATTATTATTCAATGAAGACAAGAATAACAAAGGCTTAAGTAGTTTTCAGTGGGTAAGGGTCAAATGATCAAAAAATATGAATCCTTGATAAGTAGTACTGGTTTAAACCCACGAAAAACAAAAGATCATGTAGTCAAAACACCCTGTGAGTTTAGTCGTAAAAGAGACTGTTGTCGAGGACGGGAACTAACGTTGTGACAACCACAACGGACGTCATCATAACAGGCGGGGCTTAAATAATGACGTCCGCTCGGGCTGTCAAAAACGTCAGTCACTCGATCGACCGTGGGTAAGTATGTCGGGGGGGGGGGGCACTTAAGGGAGGTCTCAGTGGAGCTGTGCCACTAGGGCCCTTTAACCCTTAGCCAACTCCCCGCGCCTTTTAATACACGAAACCTCATTTCACTACCATGTTCTTGATAGAAAATTTACATAGATTGTGAAATATAGACCTCATTCAGCCATTTCTTTGATATTTACTAAGAAGACGTGGGACCCCGAAAAACACCATACCCCGTTTGATTGATAGAGGGAGTGCCCCCTCCTATTAGTGGGTCTGCTGCTTGCGAAGTTAACAAGTGTGAGGCGACAAACAATGTTTGCTATTTAAATCTTCACAAACGAGTAGCTCCAATTCGTATAATTAAAGTTTGCCATTATCGCCGATGAGATAAAAAACACAGCTTGGAGTATGTTCTAATCACGAAGGGCGTGTGGTGCAACCTCGAGAACCTCACGAAAGCGATGGTGAGACAGAGTTAGTCTCTTAAATTTCGGTAAAAAAAGATCAGTGCAACCTCAAAAGCATAGAGCTGCTTTGTTCGTCATGCATATTTGTTTCTGGTTACTTGAACAAGTTATAATTATCATGATGGGAAAACAAGGCTGAATTACCATGAAACAGTAGGGGCTCTTTATTATTCAAGTTGTTCAGATCATTGGATGAGGTCAGCGTAATCGGAATAAATTCCGTTTTCTTTGTGTAAAGAAATATAACTTTCAGGTGTCTAGGACACGCAACTCACTGGCCCAGTCATCTGATCTTTACCGACCGTTTACACAGCAGAATTTAATATTTACACAGGTTCACTTCAAGGTAATGTTTCAGCAAGCACAAATGAATGCTAATGTTACATAACTTCATTGTCTCAGTGACAAAGTCCATCGAGAGTTAGCAACTGTGTCTGCATTTGTCTGACGAGAGCCATTTGAAGAGTTTTGAAGCACCATTTGAGTTACAACGCTTCTTCAAAAGCCCTTTTTAAAGCGAAGTGTATGACGCAGGGATATATCTTCTTCGAATTTCTAATTCAAGTGTGGTCATTTTCAGGGGGCTTGACGGGAACACAGCGAATGCCTAACCAAGGCAGAAATGATGAACTGTAAGCACATCGGCAACATAACCGTCATTTTGATTCTTATCTTCAGCCTGTGGGAAATTGCTGTTGAGGGCAGAAATAATGCCCACCCAAGGCATGAACAATCAAATGCAGGAATCAACAACAGGAGAAGTTATGTCGACTTAAAACTTCGCCAGACGCAGAACGATTTGGAAACGAAACTATTTCCTGTGAAGGTTGCCGACAAAATTAGTACAAGTCACGAAACTATTCAAGCGCACAACACAGCAAAACAGAGAGAAACACTTGACAATGGAGAGATAAACTCGAGTGTAAATGTTGAATGTGTGTACGCAGAAGACAGCAAGAAAGAGGATAAAAACACACGAGTATCACAAAGTGAGGCAGAACTGAATAATAAATTTGCTCTCTTAAGTGACCGCAGAAAATACAAACTTCTCAAAAGGAGCAAACGAGAACCAGGTTCCGAGGGAACACCCAAAGGACAGCCCGAAGCAGAACCCACGGGGGAACCCGAGGGATTACATACAGAATACGCAGGAGCAACAGAACCTACAGCAGAGCCTGAAATGTCTTGGCCTGAGCCAGAACCTGATTGGGATCAAGCTTTCGGAAAATGGCAAGCTGCCTGGCCACTACACACGTACGGATTCGGCGTGATCTTCACAATCATCGCGTTAATTCCACCGCTCGAGTTACTACGGATGCACGTCGATAAAGGCAAAATGTCCGCCCTTAAGTCCAGCTTGCTCGTGATTATCTTTTTCTTCAGTTCAACTCGGGCGATGGCGCTTTTTGTGGACCCGTACGGCTCGACCAAACGATTTCACCTTATCTTATCTCAGCTGTTGTTTTCTCTTGGTCATCCAAGCATCATCTCGGCTTTGAGCCTCTTACTACTGGTACTCATCGACACAACAAAAATGAACGTTGCCCCGCCTAAATTTCAACGCGTGCAATTCATCATCCCCGTGGTAGTTTTCCACGTGGTCCTAGTGATAGTGACAGATTTCGTGGTGGTTTACTTTCTGGAAGCTAAAGTTCTCCTCCTGATGTGTCAATTGTATTTCCTGTCATTAGGATTTCTGTTAGCGGTGGGATACGCCCGTGTTGGCTGGAAAATTCACGTAAACATCAAAGCTAACGTCAACAGCAAAAGCGCAGTCGACAACAGCATGCGGCGCCTGCAGTATCTAATCGCAGCGTGTGCGGTTGTGAGCGGTTTTATAAGCGTACTGACAATATACGGGGCTGCTGGCGTTTTTGGAGTATACTCAGATGTCCAGTACGTCGAACCCTGGCCTTGGTGGATCTTCCAAACATGTAATCGCCTTCTTGAAACCACCATCTGTATTATAATTTTACTCATGAATACAAAGGCGTCTTCTAAACGGAAAATTTTTCCCTCAGCTCGGAGCTTTGTGACGAAAAGCATTTTCTACGTTAGACGGAGCACCACAAAGGTTCCAAAAACAACTCCGCCGGAAATGACGATCTCAAACGTAGAATAAGTCACTGAGAGCTTAAAATCATAGTAGCCTAAAAGACTATGTTGGCACATTACCTTCTTCGTGGAAGGCGAAAATAGAATGCAAACCGAAAATTCGCGGATCAAATCAATGAGGATTATGAGAAAACTTCTGGGACGGGTTGTTCAAAGCTGAGTTAAGTTAACCCAGGGTTAGCGTGAAATTTGATTGCAGATCTAAAAGCTTTAGGAGAAAGTTCAGTTTAATTATTTTGCGTCTACAATTTGCTGATCGGATGCTCTAAAAAGAAAAGGCAAAATTATGTCATAAAGGTTCTTTGAATAGAGAAATAAGGAAACCTGAATCAAAATTTAACCTCGGATTAGTGTTAATCGGCCTTCGAACAACTGGACCCTGAAGGATAACTAGACAAAACCGCTACGAACATCGGGTGAAGTTTACGAAGCAATTCAAACCAAACTGGCGAAACAAGAAAA